GAGGGACTTCCCTGGTGGTGCAGTGGTTAAGAATCCACCTGCCAATGCAGAGGACACAGGTTTGAGCCCTGGTCCGGGAAGATCCCACATGCCACGGAGCAACGAAGTCCGTGCACCACAGCTACTGAGCCTGCCCTCTAGAGCCCGCGAGCCACAACTACTGAGCCCACGTGCCACAACAGCTGAAGCCTGCGCGCCTAGAGCCCGTGCTCTGCAGCAAGAGAAGCCACCGCAATGAGAAGCCCGCACACCTCAATGAAGAGTAGCCCCCGCTCGCCGCAACTAGAGAAAGCCCGCGCGCAGCAACGAAGACCCAGTGCAGCCAAAACATAAATAAATTAATTAAAAAAACGAGGCTGAGAAGCTGGGGTAGGAGGAGGTGAGGGGCAGTTCACGCCTGAGCTGAGTCCTGGCACCACCTCCTGTTAGCTGTTGACTGTGACATAGGGACTTAGCGTTTCTGATCCTTCGGGGAGGAGATAATGTGTGACGTGTCTGGGTCCTCAGTAAATGCTCATGCATTGGGCCTCGTGGTTGATAGGGGAGCCTCTGCTTCTGGAAAAGCCCCTGAGGTCACTGTGGCCCGAGGAGCAGGAGGTGGCTGGGAGGGGTTAGTGCAGAACGACGACAGTAAGTGGCTGAGCAGGCAGCTGTGTGCCAGTGTCTTCACAGGAGTCGTAGCTTCATCGTGATGCTGTAGCACAGCGCGACAGTCGGTCCGTATGGGAGCTCTCTTGAATTAACCCGCTCAGTACACGCTCACTGAGCCCCGCCTCTGTCGCGCCGTGTGCCAAGAGCTGTGAACACAGAGAAAATCCTGAGAGCTTCTGCCCTCAGAGGCTTCTTGGCCTAGAGCGGCACAGTCCAATAGAAGTATAATGTGAGCTCGTGTTAATGTCACGTCTTCTAGTGGCCGTATGAACAGTGAAAACAGGTGAAATCAACTTTAATAATATTTTCTAACTCAGTGTATCCAAGGTGTTACCACTTCAGCATGTAATCAACATAAAAAATTATTGAGATATTTGACATTGTTTTCTTATACTAAGTCTTCGAAATCCAGTGTGCAGTTTACACCTACAGTGTGTCTCAGGCTGGACTAGCCCCATTTCAAGCTCTCAGTAGCCACAGATGGCGGATGGTTACCGTGTGGACAGTATAGACCTCTTAAATGGTCGTAAGACGGGGAGGTCAGGGCTGTGATGGAGGCCAGCAGTGGCTGCGGGGACACCAGGGTGCACTCTTTCTGCACTGTGGCCTAAGCAGGTTTCTTTCTCATGGAAACAGTCGGTGGAGGTAAGTGGGCTGTGCTTGCCGAGAGTCCAGAGCCCAGGCTGGCTGGGCAGCGTTACAGGGCAGCCCGTGGACCGGGAAAGGAGGTGTGGAGGGGCCACGCCTCAGTCCCAAACCTAAGCCCAGAAGTAGCCCAGGTCACTTGTCTGCATTTAGTTGCATGGCCACACCTGGCTGAGGGGAGTCTGGGACATGTCTAGCTGGGCAGCCATGAGCCCAGGAAGAGGGAGAACAGATTTGGAGGTGGAGGGGGGGAAGTCTCTGGCCTGAGGGAGTTAAAGCCCTCTGTTGAGGCAGTGATACGGTTGGGCAGTGGGCTTGGTCCTGGTTAGGTGGCCGAAGGGGCCCCCACTGTTCCCAAGAGAGACCGGTTTCTGCCCCCGCAATGCCAGAGCCTTGTGGTGAGAATTCTCTGGGGTTTTGTCTCTGCAGCCAGAGTATTACTTCAATTTCATCAGCAGGGAGCTGTTTGTGCATTCCATCAGGAAGCTGCAGGCCCGCGTCCTGTTCATCAAGTAAGTCTGAACCAAGCGCCCCAGACAGACGTGAGTGCCAGGAATCTCCAGGTCTCCTGGTGTGAGACCTCTCCACCATCTTTCTTGGGCAGCCCCCGGGCTGCTGGTGTGTGGAAGGCAGGCAAGGCAGTGGGAGGGCTTGGGCAGCTGGGGATGGGAAAGGACCGCACCACACTTTTCAGCAGGTGTCTGTATCTGTGGGGGGCACGCCCAGGTAAGGCAAAGAGACTGGCAGACACTGGAGTCTGGCCCTTGCCCTCCCCAGTCCTCCAGCCACCCCAGGTCCCTGACATCCCCAGGCCTACACTGCTCCTGTCTGTCCTCCCTTCCCCCACCTGCTAGCCAGAAGCCATCCACTGCCTCTGGGTGCCACAGCACGGTGAACATCCTTTGGTGTGGCTTAGGTGCCACCACCCACTCCACTGCAGCCATCCTGGACTGGCAGGAACTGTGACTTCCAGGGACACATCTGCCGAGCACAGGGGTTTAGAAGGCATGGACTCGATAGGGGCAGATCCAGACCACAGTGAGATACACTGCACACCCCTAGGATGGCCAGACTCTAAAAGTGAGATAACAAGTGTTGGTGAGGATGCAGAGAAACTAGAACCCTTGCATGCTGCTGTAGGATTGTAAACTTTTTTTTTTTAAATGGCTGCATTGGGTCTTCGTTGCTGCGCATGGGCTTCCTGTAGTTGCGGCGAGCGGGGGCTACTCTTCGTGGCGGTGCGCGGTCTTCTCATTGTGGTGGCTTCTCTTGTTGCAGAGCTCGGGCTCTAGGCGCGGGCTTCAGTAGTTGCGGCGCGTGGGCTCTAGGGCATGCGGGCTTCAGTAGTTGTGGCGCACGGGCTTAGTTGCTCCACGGCATGTAGGATCTTCCCGGACCAGGGCTCAAACCCATGTCCCCTGCATTGGCAGGCGGATTCTTAACCACTGCACCACCAGGGAAGCCCCTGGTATTGTAAAATGGTGCAGCCGCTTTGGAAAAGTCTGGCAGTTTCTCAAGCCATTAAATTACCATGACCCCGCAGTTCCACTCGTAGGTGTTTCCAGCATCTGTGCACACAACAGCTTGTACTGATGGCACACAGCAGCATCTTTCCTAATCGAATGAATAGTGTTGGAGGCAACCCAGATGTCCATCAATGGACAGATGAGCAAAACATGCTCCATCCACACAACGGACTATTGTTCAGTGACAAGCGGAACGCAGCACTGATACACACTGTGACGTGGACGGACCTTGACAACATTAGGCTAATTGAAGGAAGCCAGGCACAGAAGTCCAGGGAGCATATGATTCCATCCACATGCAAGTCCAGATAGGGAAACATACAGAGACAAGGCCGAGCAGTGGTTGTGTAAGACCAGGAGCTCTATGTGGAAACTGTAGGTGCGGGATTTTTTGTTGTTGTTTAGGTGATTAATTATGTTCTAAAATTGACAGTGGTGATGCTTGCACAACTCTGAATATACCAAAATCCACGGAATTGTACACTTTAAATGGGTGAAATTATCTCCAGAAAGCTGCTAAAAGAGAAAGAGAACGCACGGACTCTGAGCCCGTTCAGATCCCAGCTCCGCCATTCAGTGGCTGTGACCATGGCCAGGTCCCCTGAGATAAACCTGAATTGCTTCACTTGAGCAGGCCTCAGTGAGCTGTGAGTGCCTGCGGGGACCGAATAACTCAATCCTGAATTAAACCTGGGCTCCAAGGGACCCAGCTGTGGGAAGATTGGAGGGACGCCCAGGCTGGTCTCAGAGCCTGGAGCCCAGGGCTGGGGGAGAGCATGCAAGGAAGTGGTCCCAGATGAACCTTTCTTCTCGTTTCCCAGAGCAACCCAAGGGTTTTACGATCTGAGGAGAGAGAATGATGCCAACACGGAGCTCGTGCTATTCGTGACCAGCTCACTGAGATCCACCCTGAAAGAGGTGGGTACGTAGGGCTCAGGGCAGCTGGGCTCCAGGAGGGGCTGCCAGGCCGCCCCGGGCTCCAGCTCACCCATCTCTTCTCTTTTCTTGCACTGGGACCTCTGGTCTGGCCCTAGGTCTAACAGGTGACCCCCAGGAGCTACCAGACCTCACTCCCTGCTGCGGTCCCTGGAGACCTGGGGGGTCACGTAGATCAGCACAGAAAGCAGCCTTCTCATTGGCAGCATCTCCTGGCTTTATTGTCCTCACATGTTCCCTGCGCCACACCCAACTCAGCACTGCCACGATTTCCTAGGGTCCCACATGGGAACAGATGACCAGTCTCATCAGTGGGTGCTGGCCTCCCAGTTGGAGGGCTGGGACGTGTGCTGTGACTTTGCCCTTTGCCTGGGTTCCTGGGAGCACCTGGCATTTTATGACCATCATCCACCATAAACACCTGACCCTGGGGCCTGTGCAGACGACTGGGTGTCACTAGAGGGAAGCCCGTGTGGCTGGCTGGCCAGCTGCAGTGCCTTCCTGCCTTGTCAGCCTTTCTCCCGAGCAAGGGCGAGTTTGAAAGGCTGATGGTCTATTCCTTTTGCAAGTGGACCTTATAAGATGCTCAGAACCAGCAGCAGCCCCGACTACCAGCCCCCTCCCCAGCCTAGCTCTACAACTTCAGCTCAGAATGGCCTAGAACCCCAGGGTTTGGGCTCTTCCCTCCCAGACAGGCCTTTCTCACTGGTTTTGAACCAGGCCCTGACACCCCCCAGGGGGTGCTGTGACTGACTGGGGCCCGCGAGGCCACAGGTCAGGCACTGCCAAGGCTCCTGTGGTGGACACTTGGAACCACTGGGAGGCAGCAGGCCGTGGGAAAGCCCCAGTGCGCCAGAGGGGCCCGCAGAGCCCTCCACTGGATCATCTCACCACGTGTCCCCTCCCTTCCCCAGAGGTTCCAGTACGAGCAAGTCCCCGGCAACCACTACGTCCACATGAACCAACCCCAGCACATGGCTGGTATCATCAGCTCCTTTTTACAGAGCAAGGAGAGGATCCCAGCCCACCTGTAGCCCTGGGCCAGGGGCTACAGACGCCTGCTCAGCCCCAGACTCCCAGCTCCCAAGCCCAGGCCAGGCGTGGTGGGGACAGGGCCCCCTGGTCCTGAAGACCAGCGTGGCCGGAAGAGAATCCTGTGGCAGAGCCGGGGCGGGGGGGGACGGGGGAGGGGATACAAGATTCTGACGCTAACATCTGTGACTTCAAGGGGGAGACGGTGTCTGGGTGTGGGAGTTACCTGTTTTGTGACTGGGTAGCAGGCAGAGGGAGGGGCTGGGATAGGCCCACCGGCCTTTTGTAGCCTTCTCTTGGCACCCAGCTGGATGAAAAATAAAATGTTCTTGTATTCTTTCTGCGTTTGAGGCTGTCTCACTGCCCATGGGGCTTCTCCGTTAGGCGGAAGGGGAGAACACAGCAGACACTTAGCCCTAAGAGGAGAGTCCAGAGACAGGCTGGGGACAGAGCCCATGACAGGGAAGGAGCCACTTCCTGGGCCAGTGGCTTCCGGAGTCCAGGTCCTTGCGCCGGGCCCCAGGACTGCCAAAGCACAGGAGCCAAGGGGTGACACTGTCCTGTACCCCACATGACGTGGGCTCAGATCTCTGGGGCTGACGTGTGGTCCCTCAGCCTGGGCACGGCTGCTGAGATGAGTGTTGCAGGCCCTGTGTCCTCGCTGGCCACGCACTGCCACCCAGTCCCCACCCCTCTCCACGGGGCCCGCGGTGGGTGAGGCTCAGTAGGGTCGGAACTTGCGCTGGGCCCGCATCAGCTCGATCCTCTGCTTGTCCTCCTGGAACTTCTTGCGCAGCTGCGCGAGATCTGGGGCGAGAGGGGGTAAGACGAGACAGGGCCGGGATCAGACAGGCCGGGCGGAAGCTGCTCCCGCTGCCCCCTACTCACGAGGGCAGCAGCCCCTCCCTCAGTCCCCACTCCCCGCTGGGGGCGCTCCGCACGGCCGCCCCCCTCCCCCGTCGCCTCTGCGGTGGGAACCGGAACCAGACTGCAGCCCAGTCGGAGGGCAGAGGCTGAAGTGGAGCAGAAGGGACACCAGAGGTTTCAGGCGGAAAATTCACCAGGTCGAAGAGAAAGCAGAGAAAGCCAAAAGGCACTTGCCCCCTTACTACCCCGCCTCCAACACGCCCCCCAAGGTGAAGGAAGAAGGTTCTGGGGCTGCTGGGAGACCCCCGGGACACCTCTCCCAGCCCCTCCTCACGGCAGCTATCAGGCCGGGGGCGCGTGTCAGGAATAAGGGGCCTCCACCTCGAGACTGCCACAGAATACATGCGGCGACTCCGGTCACCGGTCAGGACGCCGGGTGTGGGGTTTTGAGCCCAAGGGCGGGGAGGCTGGTGGAGGCCCGTCAGGCGGGGCCAGAGGAGCGCAGAGCGAAGGAGCGGTGGGCACGGTGTGGGCAGGAGCAGTGAGGCAGGTGAGGGCGTGGTGTGACCAGGCGGCGGGGTCAGGGCCTCCCCCGTGCAAGGCCAGGACCCTCTCCCGGGTCCACGGGGAAGCCGTCCTGCCAGCAGGAGACCAGGCAGCCCGGGCCGCGAGCTCGGCATCATAGCCCCCGAGAGCAGCCACAGGTGGTCAGGGGCTCCCTCTGCGTGTGGCTCCTTGCCGGAGGCTGACAAGGGCCTGGAGGTGGGGCCTATATCCCAGGTGCCTGTGCAGCCTCAATACCCAGAGGCACCCGCAGCTGCCTCGGGAGCAACAGGGAGCCCATGACACGGGGACGCTGCCAGGCTGGGACCATAACCCCAGAGCCTGTTAGGAAGTCTGCGCCCAAGAACGCCCTACCCGCCCGCAGGCCTGGCGCCTGCCGTCAGGAGCTCCGTGTCTGGCCAGGGCTGGCAGAGCGGCCACAAGACCGCGTCCACAGCCTGGGCGCCCAGGGCAGGGGGCCGAAGGACAGGGGCCTGGGGCGCGCCCTTACGCTCCATCTTGGTCTCGCGGTGCTGCCAGGCATAGAAGTTGAGCAGCTCCTTGCGTGCACGCTTCCGCTTCTCCCTCTCCAGCACCCGCAGGCTGGCCGCCTCCGTCCTCGGGAGCACCGGCCGCCGGCCGCGGCGGGTCACCTTCACCCAGCCCTCCTCGTCAGGGACCCCTTCCTCCTCCTTGGCCTTAGCCTCCTCCTGCAAAGAACGTAGCCCTGGGATGGGCAGGTGCCTGGGAGCCGCCCTGCGGCCCCAGGAGCACCTCACCTCCCCCTCTCCGCTCTCCCTCCCGTGCCCAGGACCGCCCTGGCGCCGCTCACAGGCACCCAGCACCGTGTGAGCGGCTGAGTGTGGGGGAAGGGCGGGGGGCAGACGTGCCAACGCTGCCTCCTCCTCCACCCTCGACCGTCCTTTCCCTAGAGACCATTCCTCCTTTCCCTAGAGACCATTCCGAGACTAGATGTTACCCAGCCAGGAGGCCCAGGGCTCAGCAGAGAGAGAGGAGCCTGGACTCCACCAGCTGCCCGTGTGGAAGCCCCACCTCAGCCATCTTCTCGTCGTACGTCTCCATGAACGTGTCCACCTCGACTCTCAGGGCCTCGGGGTCCGGCACGGAGTCTGCGTAGTCTCTGATCCACTCTGAGGGAGGAGGGAGCGAGAGAGACGGATTCCAGGCCCGCCCCTCGGGGCCCCGCCCAGGACCTTGCAGGCCAGGTGGGATCATCTTGCACAGGCCGCGTGGAGGGAGACTCGTGGGCCAGGGTTCGGGGCGTGAGGAAGAGCCTAGTGGTGGCAAGCTGGGCCCTCACCTATGCCCACCCCGAATGCCAAGCTCAAGCCTCCCACACCTGCTCTGAGGGCGAGGGGACACGGCAGACGCCAGCCCACAAAGCTCCCCTCCCCGACCCAGGGCCCAGGGCCCAGGAAGGAGGCACCCGCTGGCACCCGAGGTACTGACTGTGAACGCCGCTCTTCACAGGGTGACTCTCTGTTGAGACCAGCAGAGGGCCCTTCAGGGCCAAGGCAGCTGACACCGCACGTGGCTTCTGGAACACCACGTAGGCCACCTGGAACCCCTGGGAGGGGGAGAGATGTCAGTGCCAGGAGCCTTCCCATCCTCCCAGCCATCCCAGGCCTGGCCCAAGGGCTCCCCCCTGCCCTCAGCCTGACTTGTCGTGGGGCCGGGGGAGATGTGCTGGGCTGTTCCTGAACGTGAAGGTAACCAGGAGGTTGTTCTAATCCAGGGGAGGGGCGGCCACACTCCTAGTTATGCAACTTCTGCTAAAAATGACCTGATCCCACCTCTTCACCAGGGAGAGGTGAGACACTCAGGACTTTTGTTCCAGGTGTGGGAGGGACTCAGGGAAGAGCGTGTCTCCCTGGGCCAGGAGTGGACAGACAGATGGGGCGCTCACTAGTTCAAACTCCACTAAACGGGAGGAGGTGTGGACTCAAGGCACACAGGGAAACGAGGCCCAGGCCACCAAGCCTAAGAAAGAATCGACCTCAATGCGGGACGCAGCGGGTGGCTCAGGGAGGCCCCTTGGGCAGTGAGCAGAGATGCCCCTGAGCTTTCACCCAGGACAATGGAAAGAGCCAGACAGGACACGGCAAATCTGGGAAAGGAGTGGAAGCTGTTTACCTGACAGCCCTCCTAGACCACACAGGCCAGGACTGGCCTGAGCACAGGGAACGCTTGCAAGTCCCACTGCCACCCCTGACACCACCTTCCCCTTACACACTGGGGACACTGCCCTGGCCCGACCCACACCATCCTTCAAGCAGACCCCAGTAGTGGAGGCTCACAGGAACTGGCTTGGGGTGAAAGAACTTTGACTTTGGCTCCTTTGGGCTCTCAGCAAGATCCGGCTTCTCCTGTAACTCCACCGACTGGACAGGGCCGCAGGGGGACAGCAGGCGGGACAGGCACTCCTGCCGTGGCCGGAGAGAAGCACAGTATGAGCGGCTACAGGGCCTTTCTGGAGCCTCCCTCTGCCCTGGGCAGCACTGCCAGGGCACCGGGGCCCAGAAGGTCTCGGAGTCCAACCTGGGGGCCTGCACAGACGGCCTGGGCAAGCCACCACCTCCTCAACACAGAGGTCACAACCCCGGCCCCCCACGGCCCCAGACAGCAACCTTGTGAATTTTCATGTTCAAAGCTGTGGGTAAAAAGTCCACTGGCCGGGGACTCGGGAGGGAGGACACAGAGGTGAGACAAAATTCAGGTATAAGCTTTTTGGCTTTATGACAGGACCCTGCTAGAAGCACGTGCCCAGGATACGCTTGGTCTGTTCCTGAAAGGGATTTCTCCGTTTGAAAGTGAATGATCTGGGACTTCCCTGGTGGCGCAGTGGTTAAGAATCCGCCTGCCAATGCAGGGGACACGGGTTCAAGCCCTGGTTTGGGAAGATCCCACATGCTGCGGAGCAACTAAGCCCGTGCACCACAACTACTGAGCCTGCGCTCTAGAGCCTGTGAGCCACAACTACTGAAGCCCGCGTGCCTAGAGCCCGTGCTCCGCAACAAGAGAAGCCACCGCAATGAGAAGCCCGCTCACTGCAACTAGAGAAAGGCTGCGCGCAGCAACAAAGACCCAACGCAGCCAAAAATAATAAAATAAATTTTTTTAAAAAAAGTGAATGATCCGTAAAGTAGGAGTGGGTTCTCAACTTTTTAAAAAAATTATTACAAGAACAGGTAGGGACATTTTTACTTTTATTCTGAGTACTCTGATTTTATACGAAAACCAACTAAGTTTTACTACCTGAATCAGCCATTTAAAAAGAGTTAAATCTGGGAATTCCCTGGCTGTCTAGTGATTAGGGCTCCATGCGTCCACTGCAGGGGGCACGGGTTCAATCCCTGGTTGGGGAACTAAGATCCCACATGCCGCGAGGCACAGCCGGAAAAAAAAAAAAGAGTTATATCTACTCCGTTGGAATCAGGATGCTGGTTATCCTTGGTGGGGGGAGGGGCATGACGGGACTTCTGGGGGTGCGGGTGATGTTCTGTTTCTCCACCTGGGTACTGATGCCACAGGTTTACTCAGTTTGTGAAATGCAGTGAGTGCTACACTTCGGTCCAGGCCCTTCTCCATACATACACTAGTCTTCAGGAAAGGTTAAAAATGACACCCTCTCCTCTCACTGTTACTTTGTCTCTTTAACTGTAGAGGAATCGTTTAGAAATTAGTATTTCTTTTCTGTAAAAAAAAAACATCGAAAATCCAGCAATTCCCTTAATTTCTCTTCTGTAAAATAATGAAATACCAAATTTAACAGCTTTTGTGAAAAAAAATTTAACAGACATGTCTGCATAGTAGACTCAGAGGTAATTTTATTTTCTTCTACTTTTCCTATTTTTTACTATGGACATGTATCAGATTTTTATTTTTTTTAACATTTATTTATCTATTTGGTTGTGCTGGGTCTTAGCTGCGGCACGAGGGATCTTCGTTGTGGCATGCAGACTCTTAGTTGCAGCATGCGGGATCTAGTTCCCCAACCAGAGATCGAACCTGGGCGCCCTGCACTGGGAGCACGGAGCCTTAACCACTGGACCACCAGGGAAGTCCCGTCCCTCAATTTTTTTAAAAAAAGACAATGATTATGTTGTCAGATGTCACACAAGTAGTTGGCACAACTTTCACAATACTCAAGAAAAATGTTTGAGAACGTGTGTCTCTGTCTTCATATGGAATTATGGTAGACAGAGACAGTTATGCATCGATCGCTTTAAGCAACAGAACATTTCAGCTGTATTATTAACAGTACCTGCAATGGACATAAATCAATTTTATAATCAAGGATAAAAAATACATAACTCAAACAATTCTGGGTAACATACAAAAAGCTCTGGGTTCCCTAGGGAATTATATTTTTTACAACACACCTTTAAAAGGCCAATCTCCTGTCACAAGAGAGGCAGCCTTACAGATACCACCCCTCAGGGCTTCAGTTAGCTGTTTCCACTGCACCACTAAGGACTTGGTGGGGGGCCCGTAGGAGCCCAGTTCTGCCTGGAGCCCCCGCCCCAGGCTCAGGTTCCCTCCCAGACACCAGTTTACCTCTGTGCAGTATGGGGGCACATTGAGGACAAAAAGGGTCCGTTTCTGAGGCCAGGAAGACTTGGTGCCTTCTCGAACTTTGTGCTCTCTCACATAGAGGTAATGAGAAGACTGCTGCTTTTCAGAGAATTTGATGGGAATGGCTGGAAGGAAAATGGGGACGGGGAGGGACAGCATGAAAGTCAGGTTCAGGCTGTCCATTTCCAGTCCTGTGTGTCTGTCTGTCCATCCATCCTTCACTGAGCCCTTCCCCTAGGCAAGGCCTGTGCAGGGTATTATGCAGGCTGGGAGGGTGAACAGATAATCTGCCCAGAAAGGGCTCCCAAGCTTGCGGGAGAGAGAATGTGAACAGGATGCGAAAGGAGAGAAGTTCCAACTCCGCTGCTCTTGGGGTAAACAGCCAAGTCCTTACCGTGGCCGCCTCTGCAGCCTCTTCTCACCCCACCCTCCCCCCTCCACACCACATGCTGGCCCCTCCGGCCTCCTCTCTGTTCCTCCAATAAGCCAGGCCCTCACACACGCTCTCCCCTTCCTGAAACATCAACCCTCGTCCTTCCACCCATCCTTCAGGTTTTCACTTCACTTCCTCAGGAGAGCCTTACACGCCAGGTTAGATCCACCTGCTCTGCGCCTTCTTACCTTCTCTCACGGTCTCTATGTCTCTATTTGTGTGATTTTTTTTTTTGGCCACACCATGGCATGCGGTATCTTAGTTCCGCGACCAGGGATCGAACCCGTGCCCCCTGCAGTGGAAGCACGGAGTCCTAACCACTGGACCGCCAGGGGAGTCCCTTGTGCGATGATCAGGCCGATAGCTGGCATTCCCATAAACTTTAACCCTCATCAAGCTAAGGACTGTTCTGCTTTTCTCACCACCTTCTTCAGAACACAGTGAGGATACAGTTGCAACCCCTGCGCTCAGGAAGCTCACACGGCGAAGGGAGAAAAGGACAACAAGTAAGCATGTAACAAGGTCGATCAAATAGGAAGGAAACACACAGAGTGAAGTAGTGCAGGGTGATGGGTGGCAGAAGCCTGAGGACAGGCCATCGATCGGGACCAGCTCTTCGAGGAAGAAACATTAAAGCTTACACCAGAATGACAGGAAGCCGTGGAACAGCGCAGAGCTGTCTGAGGAAGAAGACCCAGTAAGTTACAAAAACGCTGAGGGTGTAAAGAGCTTGTTGCCTCAGAGGAACAGAAAGACAGAGCTGTAGGTCAGCAGGAGCCAGGCTATGCGGGGCCACGCAGGTCAATGGTGGGAAGTGTGGATCTTGTTTTAGGTGCTAACTTTCGCCTCTGGAGGGAGTTCAGTGGGTATGGGCGTGTGAGGCAAGCTCTGATTTAAATCTGACTTTAGAAAGAACATTCTGGCTCCTGGGTGGAAAACGGAAGGCAGAAGAACCAGTGCGGAGGGCACAGGCCAGGTGAGCGCTGAGGGGGCTGGACTAGGAACTGCAAAGGGGAGCTGGTAAGCGGACGGGCGCACCTCAGGGGGAGAGTGTAGACGGACGCGGGTTCGCCCTGGGAGAGTGTAGACAGAGGTGGCTTCACTCAAGGGAAGCGTTAAGCAAACTAGGCTCGTCCCAGGCGAGTGGAGCCAGATGGGAACAGGGCGCCGCGCGGGTCTTGGGGGGCCCCGGGCCTCACAACCTTCCGGGCCTCATGTCCAACTGTGTGGCTGCTCCTGGGGGCCCAGAGCCACTGCCGACCCCGAGCCTCCTGCCGACGAAGCCTGGCCGTCCCCCGGCCCCGCGTCCCGCAGCCCCTCACCTGAGTAGCCCGGCGGACTCAGAATCCCCTTCTCAGACTCCCGCGCCGCACGCTTCCTCCCGCGCGCCACCATCTTGCCAACCGGAAGCCGCGGCGGCCGCTGGGCGTTGTAGTTCGGCTCAGGGAGCCGTTTCCGTGACGACGGCGCCGCCTGGGGCCCCGCCCCTCGGTTTCAGGCCCGCCTATCCCGGCCCCTACTCCCCGACCCCCCCGCCCACTCCCTCCCGCCGTCCTCCCAGGGCGCCACCTCCATTTGCTCGGATTAAAGTCTGCGCGTGAATGTGGGGGTAAATTCCGTAGAGCTGGGCCGCTCACGGGTGCGACCTCTACTTTCCGTTCATTCATTAATCCATTCCACAAATAGCAGTGGATACTCCTGGCACTGTCCTCAGCGCTAGAGATACAGGGGTGAAATAAAATAGAGCCTTCCCAGAGTTTATTTTCTAACGAGGGAAAGAAACTATGACCACAGGGACTTCTCTGGTGGTTCAGTGAGTAAAACTCTGCGCCCCCAATGCAGCAGGCCCAGGTTCAATCCCTGGTCGGGGAACTAGATCCCGCATGCATGTCACAACTAAAGATCCCGCATGCCGTAATGAAGACCCGGCGCACCCAAAAATAAACAAATAATTTGAAAAATTATAATAATAAAAAAGAAACCAGTAAACATCTAAGAAGCAACATATAAAGCACACGCATCAGTGCAAAGTGCGGGGAGTGTGGTGAGAGAAGGTGTTGTCATTTTAAATAAGACGAAGCCCTCATTGAAGTGACATTGAACAAATACTGAAGGAGGTGGGGGAGCAGGGCGTTCAGGTGAAGAGATTCTGGGCAGAGGGAACTGGCGAGGGGCCCTGAGGCTGGAGCCTACCTGGTGTGGTAGAGAAATAGCAGAGAGCACAGTGAGCCAGAGGAAGAATCGGTCAGGGGGCAGGGGCCTTGGTGGGTCAGGTAGGATCGGGGAGGCCACTGGAAGCACTTTAACTGTTACTCTAAGTGTGATGGGGGCCACTGTGGGATTTTGAGCAGAGAGGAGTCACTGTATTACAGTTAGACTGTGGGGGGCAAGGGCAGCAGCGGGGTTGTTTAGGACACCATTGCAATAATCTGGGGGAAAGATGATGGCTTGGTCACCAAGGAAGTAGTAGTGGAGGTGGTGAGAAGTAGTTGGATTCTGGGTATGTTCTGAATAATTCCAATGGGATTTGATGACCAATCGGGTATGCAGTGTGAGAAAAAAGAGAGATCCAGGACTACTGCCAGGTTTCAGTGTCTGAGCAACTAGAAGAATGGTGTTGTCATTTACTGAGATGGGAAGACTGTAGGAGAGGTGGGCTTGGAGCAGGAAAGGGTGGGCAGATCTGGACTTTGCTGTGGACCACGTTGAGATGCCCATTAGTCATCCCAGGGGAGAGGTCAGGTGGTCAGAGAGATATGAAACTGAAGATCACAGAAGAGGTCTGACTTGGGAAATACATGTGGGAGCTGGTGATGTACAGATGTTACTGAAAGCTATGAGAGAGGGTGTCATCACCCAGGGAGTGAATGTAGACAGAGGAGAGAAGTCCAAGGACTCTATTTATCTGAAGACCAAAGGCCCACTCAGACCATGTACCCAACTCCCCTTGAAATTTCCAGTATTCTCCTTGTCCCAGTGTACAGTTACTTCTTGGAAGTGGCTGTGGGTCCCTTTGGGGAAGGCCTGGTGGAATTGCTACTACAAATGTTTGCTCTGGCATTATAGCATTCTTCTCAAGGGAACCCAGCCTCCCTTTCAATCAGTGACCTCTGGGTCTGAGGACTGACTTGGGCCTGGAAACTGGATGAGGGGTTGAGATTTTTTCCATTAGCAGCGGGCGTTAGCCTCCTGTTTACTTGTTTTCCCCCTTTCTTTGATGATAAAAGTCAAGAAATATCATGGTTGCCATAGTCCCTGGGAATACCATGGTCTGCGAGCCATCAGCACAGAACCCTGCAGGCCCACGCTCCCTGGCTGCCGCTTGGCCTTGCTCCCGTTCTGGTAGTTACATCAACCCCAGCCTCTGCTCTCTGGAATCCTGTCATCCCCACTGACCTCTGGGAGCCCAGCTCCAAGGTACTGTCCACCCCTGTGGCCTCAGAGGCAGCCCCCCGAGCCCCCTGTGGCATCAGTGATCCTCACTCGTGCATCCCTTGTGCTTGAGTGAAGGCAGCTCCTGTGGGCCCTCTGAGCATGCAGCCAGCTGGGTTCTCTGGTCTTACGTCCACCTCTGAGCCTTTTGGTCCCTTCTCAATACCCTGCCAAGATCGTCCTGTTACCTCCCTCTTATTTAGTGGGGCCACCATTTCTTCCACACTTCAAGGAGCCATCTCAGTGGCATATCAGGACTGGCTCCAGGGCTCTTGCCAGATCACATCCTGAGCCTCGGGGGAGTGGCTCCATGTCTGTGAACCCTCCCTCACCCAACCTAATATTCTGCTCTCTTCCCACCGGAGCCCTCAAGACCCACCTTGGACATGGTCTTGTTCTGCTGGCACATCTCGGCCAGTTTCTGCAGCCAGTGTGGGGAATCATCTCAGTTCTCTCATGGCAGGGGCAGGACTTCCCCAGCTGGGCTGTGGGGAGACGCGATCATAATTATTGGTCCAGAAGCAAAGAGGGAATTTAGGGGAGCAGATCTTGAGGAGGGAAAGCATTGCTTCAAGGCTTCTACCTTAGGGGGTGTATTAGTCAGGGCTCTCCAGAGAACCGGAACCAGTAGGATATAGAGATAGATAAATAGATAGATAGATAGATAGAAAGAAGAGATTTATTATAAAAATTGGCTCATGTGATTATGGAGGCCAAGAAGCTCCATGATCGGCTGTCTGCAAGCTGGTGGTTTGGTTAAGTCTGTGTGTGGAGGTCTGAGAACGAGAAGCGCGGATGTCTGAGGGCAGAAGAAGATGGATGTCCCAGCTCAAGCAAAGGGAGCCAATTTACCCTTCCTTTGCCTTTTTGTTCTGTTTGGGCCCCCAACAGACTAGGTGATGCCCACCCACACTGGTGAGGGCCATGTCTTATCCAGGCTACCAATTCAAATGCTGATCTATACTGGACACACCCTCACAGACACACCCAGAAAGAATTTGTTTACCAGTTATCTGGGCTCCCTTATCCCTGTCAAGCTGACAGAATTAACAATCACAGGGAGCTCCCTGCTGGCCTAGTGGTTGGGATTCTGGGCTTTCATTGCTGGGGTCCAGGTTTGGTCCCAGGTCAGGGAACTGAGGTCCCGCAAGCCTCATGGGGAAAAAAAAAAAAAAAAAGAATTAACCATCACAGGGGGGACTTTGCGTGGTCTCCAGGTAAGAGGCTGCTATTCTTAAGCAAGAGGGAATGGGCCACTTCTACTGGCTCAGGGGGTTAATGGGAATCTGGGGTTCAAGATCCTTAAGCCCATCTACCAGATGTCCCCCTGCTAGGTTTCAGTGTCCCACTCCTTCCCTTCTGTGACCATGACTGGAGCACAGGCTTTAGCAGAGTCATCTTTTTGGCCTGCTTCAGAACTCCCCTCTTCTCAGGCAGGTTCTGGGCCTTCACCAGTACAGGCTGCAGTAGACAAGAGTCTTTAAACACTGATATTGAAAACTCCTGGCTTTCACACTGGGCCATGGATTGATAAATGTCTGTCCTGAGCCTGTTATTTTCTCCCTCAGCACATCATTGCCACTTAATAATAATCAAGTTCACTTTCCATATAAATTACCATTGCCCCATGTATCTCAAATGTTAGCGACATTGCCTAAGCCAGTGTACCCCCTTCCCCAATGTGCCCCATCCCAGGGCAGAAGAGATGAGTCTTAGTAATTATGAGATTCAGCATGCCAAGTGTTATCACAACAAGTTTCAGCTAGCTGTTGCTGCATAACAAATTTCCCCACAACTTAACTGCTCAAAACAATAGCTGTTTTATTACCTCTCATGATTTTGTGGGTTAGGAATTTGGGCCAGGTGATTCCTTTGCTCCATATGGCATTGACTGAGGTCATTCAGTTTGCATATGGTCTGGTCTGAAGGGGCCAAGTCAGGTTCACACATATGTGGCATCTTAGCAGGGATGGCTGGAAGGCTGGGCTCACGTGGGACTGTCAGCTAGAGCACCTACCCATGGCTTTCCCAATATATGGTCTCAGTAGTGAGTCTTCATACGTGGTGGCTCAAGGCCACCAGAGGGTGTTCCGGGGGTAGGAAGTGGGGAAGTGGCCAACCTTTCAAAGTCTGGGGCCAGAAGCTGGCTGAGTCATGTCTGGTCAAAACAGTTACAGAGCCTACTCAGATTCAGGAGGGGCACAGACCCCACCTCTTGAAGGGAAGAGTGTCAAATAATTTGCAGCTATCTTTAATCCACCATAATACCTACTCCAGTTACTGTCACCAACTGGATCTTTGTTGCCATCTAGCTGTTGAGCCTTCCAATTCCAGAATCTAATTCTGAGTATCTATTTCTTAGACTCCCTTCTGGTACCAATTGTTCTAGAGTGGGTTCTCCCAGAAGCAGACCTTGGAACAAGGATTCAGGCGCAAGTAGTTTATTTGGTAGGTGATCCCAGGAGACACCACTAGGGAATTTAGTGCATGGCTGTAAGTTCCAACACTCCACCTTGAGTAGACTGATAGCTTTGTCTCCTCTTCCCTCTTTAGCCTTTGAAATCCAGTATTTAAGTCCCTGTATCAACAAATACCTGTAAGGTAGCTATAGCTTCACTGCTAACTTAACATTCCAATATCTAGATTCTTCATTTTTGTGCCTGGAGATATTCCTTATTTTCACAGGTGTACAGCACTGAAAGGAAGGTTGTTATATGAAGAGTTTCTAGGTGTTTTGTAAGGAGAGGGTTTTCCATATAACTTAGTTCTGCTTATTGCTGGAAGCAAAGGTCCTATTTTTTCAGCTTCATATGATCTCTGGGAGATTTTTTCTAAAGATGGCTGCCAACAATTCCTCCCACCCCTGTAAATACCTGCCACTCCTTTCATCAAGAGCTGGAGGCTATGTCCCCACTTGAATCTGGCCAGTCTTGTGACTTGCTTTGACCAACAGATTGTGACAGAAGTCATATACTGGGGTTTTCAAGCCCAGGATTTAAGTTTATAGCCTCCAACCTCCTGGGATCTAGCCATATAAACTTGACCTAGACTTCTGAGAGACCACATGGAGAGAGGGAGGCTGCCAGCTGAGTCGTGTGAATTAAGTTGTATCAGTTGTTCTAGCCCCAGCTGTACTGATGGAATGAAGCTGTAGGAGTGAACCCCACTAACACCATGTGGCGGAGAGACGAGTCATCCCTGCTAAGCCCTGCCCAAGTAGCAGAATACTGAGAACATAAATTATTCTTGCTGCTTTAAGTCACTACGTTTTTCATAACAGCTTTATTGAGATATAATTCACATACCATAAAACTCGCTGTTTCAAAGTATGTAATTCGGTGGGTTTTAGTATATTCACGAGATTGTGCCACCATCACTGCTATCTAATTCTAGAACATTTTGAGAATCCTAAAAAGAAACCCCATATCCATTACCAGCCACCCAGTCTTCTCCTTCTGCCTTCAGCCCCTGGTAACCACTAGTCGCTGTGGACTTGTTTATTCTGGACATTTCATATATATGGAAACGTACAATATGTGGTCTTTTGTGACTGGCTTCCTTTGCTTAGCATAATTTTTTCAAGGTTCATCCATGTTGCAGCATGTATCAGTACTTCATTCCTTTATTTAAAATTGTGGTAAAATAAACATAAAACTTACCATTTTAATCACTTTTAAGTGTACAATGTAGTGGCATTTGGTACATTCACATTGTCGTGCAACTGTCCCCATTATCCACCTCCAGAACTTTCTCACTCTCCCAAATTTAACGTCTGTACCTGCTTTCCCCTTTTCCCAGCCCCTGTTAACCACTATTCTACTTTCTGTTTCTATGAGTTTGACTACATTAGGTACTTCATATAAGGTCTTCTTGCATCTTATTTCACTTGCCATGTTTTCAAGGTTAGTTAATGTTGTAGCATGTATCAGAAGTTCCTGTCTTTTTAAGGCTGAATAATATTTCATTGTATGTATATACCACATTTTCTTTATCCATTCATCTGTCAATGGACATATGGGTGTTCCTACTTTTGGCTGTTATGAATAATGTTGCTATGAATATTCATGTACAAGTTTTGTGCAGACATGTTTTAATTTCTGTTGGGTATATATCTAGGAGTGGAATTTCTTGGTTATATGGTAACTCTATGTTTAACTTTTTGAGGAACAGCCAGACTGTTTTCCAAAGTGACTGTCCCATTTTAAAATCCCACCAGCAATGTATGAGGTTTCCAAGTTCTCCACATCCTTACCATGACTTGTTATTATCTATCTTTCATTAGAAGTATCTTACTGGAAGGTACTGTACTGAAGTGGTATCTTACTGGAGTTTGATTTAATTTCCCTAATGACTAATGAGTTTGAGCATCTTTTCACGTGCTTGTTGGCCATTTGTGTCTCTTTTTTTTTTTCTTTTGAGAAATGTCTATTCAAATCCTTTGCTCATTTTGGGAGGTTATTTGTCCTTCTATTTTTATTTTTTAAACTATATATTTATTTATTTGGCTGTGCTGGGTCTTGGCTGCAGCACGCGGGATCTAGTTCCCTGACCAGGGATCAAACCTGGGCCCCCTGCATTGGGAGCACAGAGTCTTAACCACTGGACCACCAGGGAAATCCCAGTCCTTTTATTGTTGAGCTTCCGTTATTCATCTTTTCTGAATACAATTCCCTCATCAGATATATGATTTGCAAACATCTTCTCCTATCTCCTGAGTTGTCTTTTCACTTTGTCAAAGGTGTCCTTTAAAGCACAGATTTTTAAATTTTGATGAAATTTATTTTTTGTGGATATCCACTTGTCTGCACCATTGTTGAAAAGACTATTCTTTTTCCTCACTGAATTGTCTTGGCACCCTTGTCAAAAATTGATTGACCAGGGGAATTCTCTGGTGGTCCAGTGGTTAGGACTCCACGCTTCCACTACATGGGACACGGGTTCGACCCCTGGTCGGGGAACTAAAATCCTGCAAGCCACCGGACGCAGCCAAAAAAAAAAATTAATTTACCAGATATGTGAGGCTTACTTTTGGACTCTCCACTGCATTCCATTGATCTATATGTCTATTCTTATACTAGTACCATACTATTTTTTTTTTTTAATTTTCTCTTGGGCTTCCCTGGTGGCTCAGTGGTTAAGAATCCGCCTGCCAATGCAGGGGACACAGGTTTGAGCCCTGGTCCGGGAAGATCCCACATGCCACGGAGCAGCTAAGCCCGTGCGTCACAACTACTGAGCCTGCACTCTAGAGCCCGTGAGCCACAACTACTGAGCCCGCGTGCCTAAAGCCTGTGCTCTGCAACAAGAGAAGCCACCTCAGTGAGAAGCCCATGCACCGCAACGAAGACCCAACACAGCCAAAAATAAATAAATAAATTTTTTTTTAAAAAAGAATTTTCTTCCGTTTTCAAGACTTTCTATACTTTAATAGTTGGGGTTTTTTTTTGGGCCACGCCACACGGCACGTGGGATCTTAGTTCCCCGACTAGGGATCAAACCTACATCCCCTGCATTGGTAGTGTGGAGTCTTAACCACTGGACCACCAGGGAAGTCCCATTACCACACTGTCTTGATAGCTTTGTACTTAAATTTTGAAATCAGGAAGTGTGAGTCCTTCAATTCTTTTTCAAGACTCTTTTGGCTACTCAGGGTCCCTTTAAATTCTTTAAAAATATGTTTTATAGTTTTCAGACTATGAGTTTAACCCTTGTTATATTTATGTATAAGTATTCTAACACTTGTTACATTTATGTATAAGTAGTTTATTCTTTTTGATTCTATGCTAAGTGGAATTGTTTATTTTCTTGTGATTTTTAGATTTTTCATTGCAAGTGTATCGATATCCTGCAAGCTTGCTGTGTTTATTAGTTCTAGTTGCCTTTTAGTGGATTACTTAGCATTTTCTATATACAAGACAATGCCATCTACAAATAGAGATGAATTTACTTCTTTCTTTTCAATCTGATGTTTCCCCCCCCCCCCCACTGAACCCCCTGGCTAGAACTTCCAGTACAAAGTTAAATAGAAGTGGTGAAAGTGGACATCCTTGTCTTGCCTTTGATCTTAGAGGGAAAGCTTTCAATCTTTAACCCAGGGATTATTGATTCCACTGTGACCAAGGAGCTTGTATGGTCTCAATTCTTTCACATTTGTTGACTTTTGTTTTATGGGCCAGGATATGGACTATCTTTGTATACATTCCATGGATATTTGAAAAGAATGTGTCTTCTTTTGTTGGGTGAGGTATTCTATATTAATTGGATCATGTTGGTTGATAGTGTTGTTAAGTTCTTCTACATCCTTACTGGTTTTCTGTCCAGTTGTTCTACCTATTGTTAAGAGAGAGGTGTTGAAGTCTCCAGTGGAAGTGTGGATTTGCTATTCTTCTTTCAATTCTATCAGTTTTTGTATCAGTTTTGCAGCTCTGTTGTTTCATAAATACATATTTAGGATTGTACCTTCTTGGTGGGTTGACCCTTTTTTCATTATATAGTGTCCCTCCCTGTCCCTGGTAACTTTTCTTTGCTCTGAAGTCTAATATATCTGATACTAATATACCTACTTCTTTTTTGATTGTTTGCATGATATATTTTTCTATCCTTTTACTTTCAACCTTATAGTTATATTTGAAGTGAGTTTCTTGTAGATAGCATGTAGTTAAGTCACACTTTTTCATCCACTTTGCCAATCTCTGTCTTTCAATAGATATATTTAGACCACTTGCACTTAATAGAATTAGTGATGTTAGGGCTTGAGTCTCCCATCTTTTTTGTTTTCTGTTCTTTTCTTTTTTCTGCCTTCCTGTGGGTTACTTGAATTTTTTTTTTGAATTCCATTTTGATTTATCTATAGTGTTTTGGGGTGTATTATCTTTTTTTAGAAGTTGTTCTAAGAATTACATTAAATACACATAAGTTACCACAGTATACTGTTGACATTTTATCAATGTTGTTGACATTTCTAAGCATAGAAACCTTCCTTCTCTTGATATCCCTTAGTACTTTCCCATTTATAAAGTAATTGTTTTAAATATTTCCTTAAATACATTGAGAACATCAATTTTATAATTTTTGCTTCAACCATCAACCATAATTTAGAAAACATAAAAGGAAAATATTTACCCAAGTTTCACTATTTCTGCTCTTCCTTCTTCCTTCCTTTTTGATGCTCCAAGTTTTCTTCTTTTATTTTCTCCTTTATGTTCAGAGCTCTTCTTTAGCCATTCTTTTTTTAAAATAAATAAATAAATTTATTTATTTATTTTTGGCTGTGTTGGGTCTTCATTGCTGCGCGCGGGCTTTCTCTAGTTGTCGCGAGTGGGGGCTACTCTTTGTTGCAGCGCGCGGCCTTCTCATCGTGGTGGCTTCTCCCGTTGCGGAGCATGGGCTCTAGGCATGCAGGCTTCAGCAGTTGTGGCTCGTGGGCTCAGTAGTTGTGGCTCATGGGCTTCAGTAGTTGAGGTGTGGGCTCTAGAGCACAGGCTCAGCAGTTGTGGCACACGGGCTTAGCTGCTCCGTGGCATGTGGGATCCTCCCGGACCAGGGCTCGAACCCGTGTCCCCTGCATTGGCAGGCAGGTTCTCAACCACTGCGCCACCAGGGAAGCCCTAGCCATTCTTTTAGGGTAGGACTGCTGGCAACAAATTCTCCTAGTTTTCCTACATCTAAGAATGTCTAAGTCCCCTCTACGTTCTGAAGGGTATTTTTCACTCGATATAGAATTCTCAGTTGACGATACTTTCTTTCACTACTTGAAGTGTGCCACTTCCTTCTGGCCTCATGGTTTCTGATGAGGAATCTCCTGTCCCTTTATAGGTAAGATATCATTTCTCTTTTGCTGCTTTTGAGATTCTCTTTAGTTTTCAGTTTAGCTGTGATGTGTCTTGGTGTGCATTTCGTTAGGTTTACCTTGTTTAGGCTTCTCTGAATTTGCAGGGGTATTTTTTCTTTTTTTAATCTTTTGGTCATGCTGCGTGACATGTGGCATCTTATTCCCTAACCAGAGATTGAACCCACGCCCCCTGCCTTGGAAGCGTGGAGTCTTAACCACTGCCAGGGAAGTCCCATGCAGGTTTTCATCTTTTGCCATTTCTGGGAAGCTTACAGCCATTCTTTGTTTTGTTTTTTTTTTTTGCCATTCCACATGGCTTGTGAGATCTTAGCTCCCCAACCAGGAATTGAACCCAGACCACAGCAGTGAAAGCCCAGAATCCTAACCACTAGGCCACCAGGGAACTCCTGACAGCCATTATTTCTTCAACTGCTTTTCAGTCCCACCCTTACTTTTCTCCTTCTGGGACTCTGATGACACAGACTTTAGACTTTTTGTTTTAGTACCATAGGTCCCCATAGTCCTTCATTATTATTTTTTAAGTCTATTTTCTCTGCTGTTCAGGTTGGGTAGTTTCTATTTTTTAACTTCAAGTTCACTGATTCTTCTCCATTGGGGGGGGCGGTAATTGTATTTTTCAACTTTATTTGGCTGCACCGCACAGCTTGTGGGATCCTAGTTCCCTGACCAGTGATAAAACCCACAGCCCCAGCAGTGAGAGAGCTAAGTC